ATGTTATTATACGTGGTGACGTAATTTCAGTTTTTTGACTGGAGAGATAAAAGTTTTTACCAGACCGCATATGATAATTTATATTGTAATCGAACAGAACATCGGTCGCCAGTCATTTTCCGCTTAATTACGTTTATTTTCATAAGTTATAATATAATTCCTGTCACACATATTCTTTATTATACGAGTCGTATTTGGCAAAAGAGTATCATAGTTGTTTAGCAAAAGATATAAGTTGCGGCCTATAGTAATATGGCGCCTACTTTAGATGTGGCATTTTAGATTTTTCCAGACCTATCAAATAAATTAACATATTATGCCTTTTTAAAAKATAATAATATAATATACTCAAAAAAATTAAGAATTATTAGTTGTTTTTTTTTTCGAAATCAAGGATATGAATATTTAACTGTGATTGCTTATTGTTTTTAGCACTTTTTTTTTTTTATTCATCGGTTAATATACCCAAAGTGTATCAGAAATAGGTACCTGAATAATAATACAAAAATAATACTATAGTTAAACCGCGTATAATACACTGTACTCATAATATTTATATTAACTGTATATTACCAGCATAAATTCCAGTGTGTTAATTCCATAGACAAATATAAACATTGTTTATATACTTATGTATATGGTTAATTCACAGCTATGCCGTGTMGTGCCGATCATATCGTATTGTGATTAGACATTGCTTTTTTTTTGGTATCATGTGTTATAATTAAGTTGCAAACTCGCACAACCGAGTACCTATGCAATGGTCCATAGGGATTAGCCATCACAGATCAACTTCTAAACCATATTGGTTATCAACCAATAGGCTAACCTAACCTAACCATATACTTACTATACGCACTCTCGCGACATGACACGTCGTATCTGTGAATCCGATTTAAAAWTTTTTCAAGTATTCTATGTGTGTTTGTCCACTCTAGCATGTTTAGTGAAGAGCACTTTGCGTTTCGTTCAAAAAGCGGTCGTCAGATGGGATGGGTTTAATGTGAAATACTTACAAACGTTGTCCATCAACGATAAAAACGTGGACATCAGATATTGGAATTCGTATGTAATACCCCGACGTAATAATGTTAACAATAATAATATTAGCATTAGTATTATAAGCCAGTGGTTCTTAAACTTTTGATGTACGCGTACCCTCGATGAAAACGTCTTAAAATCACGGGACGCCTTCCTAATTTTCTTCCGATTAACTTTTTATCATTACATTTATTACGATAAATCACAATCATAACACCGATTGCCTTTGGTCGGAGTCACTGATGGCGCCGCGAACTTCCGACACGAGTGTCATGGACCCCCGGGGCGAGGGTCAACAAATGTCGACAGCTTAAGAACCACTGATAAACACTAAGCGGTGGCGCCGAACAGAAATTCAGCCGGTTCAATATTGAACGGGTAAAACTCACAAGGCAGATAAAATATATATATATCATTATATATGCGTCAGATATAGAAACAACTAACTTAATTATGTTGATGCTTATTATTACGTGTCAGTTGATAGTTATGCGTCAAAAAGTGAGATATAATGATCTTTATACGAGTAAAATTGTGCAAGGTAAAATATACTTCGGTGCCACTGTACATGTTTTTTAATCATATATTATACATTTTGTTAAGTACTCGTTAAAATGCTGTTTTCTATGATTTGCAATGATTTGCAATGACTTGTAATGTTATGGTACATACAACAGCATAAACAATAATAATACCATATCATGTCGGCACGATACAAATAAAAATATTGAAGCTAATTCAGGAGTTGAGTGGGCCGTGATGGGTGTGTAACACTGTAGTAACGATGATATTAATTTTGAAAACGATGGATTAAGATAATATATYTAATGCATAACCACATAATCTACTCTGAGGGCAAATCAAACGCTTCGTGCTTAATGGTTTATAATCCGTAAATTGATTATATTTATTTTACCATAACTGACTAACTTCAGCGTTCGAMAACACTGAGATTCAAAAATAATAACTATTTTATCAATTTCGTTGACTTCTTGGTGACCTATGTCAAATCTATTATTGTCATTATTTTTAATTATGGCAAAATGCAATTATAGATTTACGTTAGAATACAGTGATAGGATGACTTAAAATTTTAATATAATACTAAATAGGTACTGATTAAGTACTAATTTCAATATACTTACCATATCAAAACGTATCGGTGCAGTTTCAACWATCAACCCGCGCGTCATTCCTCGATGAGGATCAACATTTAAGTGTAACATCACGAATTGGAAGTTCGAATCTCCAATTATTATAGATTGGGTTTTCTTGATCCGTCATAACAGCTGACCAATAAAATCTTCAAAATTCACGTAGGTACTCCTCAACGAAATYAAACATAGTTTGCACGGTGTATTYGTAAACACTTATATGGGTAGTTTACTAATTTCAAATGAAATAAAAATAGAATTTTTGTTTTTRATAGAAATTATTTACAATCTGTATACAAAAAATACATTAAGTAATTGTGTTGAGATTTATTTATTTTAAATACAATTTAAGATAATTTTTAGTTTAGACTGATGATAATATTCAACATAGGTAGGAATGTATTAGGTATAATATTATAAAATTAAATCGACGCTGCGGATAATTAATATAGATTGGTTTGAAATACGTATTTTTAATACAATATTACTATACAAATAATAATCATTACAATAATAAAATAATTATAATATGAGAAAAGTGTTTGTATCGATATAGAAGTTAAGATTAATCATGGCCATTGATTTTAGGATAATTGGTAACCATAAATCAATAAAAATAAAATCCAATCACGAGTACGAAATATTAGAACACTGGATTCCGAATTTGCCTTTAAAAGTGATCATACATGGATGGCTCGACTCCATTATACACGAGGATAGCGTGTCTTGTATCAAAACCGGTAAGATGTATTATATTTTTTTAAAGTCTTTCGGTCGGTTAGAAAATYTCTTACAATTTTACTTCAATTATTCTGAATGTAATTAGAAATAAAATCTTTATATTTTATTTTATAAAATTTTTTGAATGCAAATAATGTTAAGTAACGAATCAAATGAGTTCGAATATATAATGTTGGTCWACTAAATATCTAAAGATCATGATAAAATATTTATTGTATGTCTCATTAATTTAAGACGTGTTGTTATAGTGAGTACTGAGCGCTAAAAAACCTACCTTGCGCTAAAAACACAAAATTGGCATGGTAATAGGTTGTACCTACCGATATAAATGTATTTCTTCAATTCGTTTTTATGGGAAAGTCGATTTCGGAAATATTGTGACGTTCAGCTGCTGAAAGTGTAACGTAACGCTGCCAGCGTTACACCAATTTTTTATGTAGAAATGTTTCTCGACAAAAAGACAAAATTATTACCAATCGATTTGTTGTCGTACACGCTATATATACACGTCATTACAAACATAAATTTATTCTTCTTGTGTGGTGCCAAATTTATGTACTTATTAAGTAGGAATTCAGTCGGCCCGGTGGCTGACGCAATGTGAATATAATACATTTAGGTATATTTTGACATTTATCAAACAGCTTACTTAAAAGTCGGCGGATATAACGTGATAACCGTGGACTGGGGTGGCATAGCGGCATTCCGGAATTATTTGYTACCGGTGTTGATGACGTCAAAAATAGGTGCCAAACTGGCCAGGGTGTTGGACAACATCGTGAACCTTGACGTCATCGAACCGGAGGACATACACTTGATCGGGCACAGTCTCGGTGCCCACATCGCCGGTGTGTGTGGGTCACTGATGAAATCGAGAAAAATCGGCCGGATAACGGGTGAGCAACGAGCAGGAATTGATATGTTATTATAGCTGATCATCGATGTTCGAATGAGCATTTAGAAAATAACGTCTCGCCTTAGGTCTCGATCCAGCCGGACCGGGCTTTGAGGTTGCAAAGCTGCAGAAAAAAGGGCTGAAAAAAGCGGACGCTCTGTTCGTGGACATCATACACACTTCCGGTGGATCAACTGGCATTTATAACTCGGCGGGGCACGCGGATTTCTTCCCGAATGGCGGCAGCGTRCCTCAACCGGGCTGCTACGATGGTATAAACCTCGATAGGTTATTTGGACTCGGTGAGTACCAACCTGTTTGCCTATAAATATAGCACATAAATTATCTAAATTATTTATACATATATATATATTTTTTTTTATGAGGATTTTTATTTTTTAAGTTTGTTATACCTTTTTTTTCTATTCGATTCAACTTTCAAGTTCTATTTGTAAAACCCTCAGGACGAGGTCTCATAGTACCTATATGTACCTATATGCAGCCTTGCGAAATAATGGTCGCACAATAGTCGACCGCGACGTCGTCGTTCTACGGCCGTGGCTCATATTTATGTATAATTCATTGTTACTTTACWTACTCTGTATATAACTTGGTTGTTGGTACGCTCAAGATTTTGTTCGTAGTTCATTGTTCATCGCAAGAGTARATTTAAATATTATATAGATAAGTTATAACTATATTTCGTATCTGACATCAAATAATTTATTGCATCATATTAAATATAGGTGTATGTTTGTATAATAGTTGTAGAATAATTTAATATAATAATACATTTAGTTAAAACTATAATAATTATTAATTGTATAACTACACATAGACACCAAGTAATAAACAAATAACTATATATTATTTTCAATGTTAATAATTATTTAAATTGTAAATTTAATTTGATAATTGTTTAGCTATCATTTTGAATTTTTATGTAAAGTATTTAAAACTGGTTAAAAACTCAATATCTTAAAAAAAAAGTTATATAATATAATGTTAAAAATTATGATTGGGTATACTAAACAAAAAGGAGATTGTACTTACTTATTTTCTGTTTCAAAATTAGTAAATAAAAGAAAATAATTTCAAAGGAAATAGATCATAATGATATATTATGCCTAATCTAATATTATTTTATTTACAACAAAATTTTAATTTTATAATTAGGTATGAAGCTTCAAATTGTGAAGTTATTTTAAACGGTAAAATACGATTGAGAACGCTCGATATTTTTATTTTATTTTCAACGTTGCCAAATTTAATCGAACAATAATTTAAGCACGATAATCGACTATCGAACGATTAAAAACGTTATAMCTTTTTGACTGAACGATTAATACAGTTGATTTTTAATATTTATATCGGATGATTATCGAATTAACTGTATGTTATTTGTAACTTTTATACCAGATATACGACAGAATGACTTTAGGCGTTTTAGTCGTCGCATAAACGTCAACGAAGTATTCGTATTATAGACGGTTAAAAATAGCAACAATGGAACAGGGTAAAAAAAGGAAAAATTTATTAATATTCATATATATAATACATATTCCTATAATTCTACATTTTTTTCATTTTTAAACATATTTATATTACATATGATTTTCTTCAACAATATTTGTTAAATGATAAATAATAAATGATATGGTAACGTTGCACGTAAATTCGTTCTCAATCGTATCCTTTTTTGGGGTCAGCGGTAAGTTCTTTGTTATTTTTAAGTGTTCTCAATCGTTCGGCCAAAAAGGTAAAATGTTCTCAATCGTTCAATAGCCATTTTAAATTATCTGTTTTTATCTAGATGAATTCGGTTATCTTTTATCCATTATCTAGTTAAGTACTTTAAGTTTTATGTATTTATCTTATCGAGATAGTTTTTTGGTTATCTTTGTACAACACTGATCGCGGTAGTTATACCAGAAGACGATTTAAAATTGTATTGGCATAGTCTTCGGTCGATTCTCAAACAGTCATTTCCATACATAGGTGTCGGTTTAGAAAATACCACAGGACCTTAAGAATATAAAACTTGTGACGTACCTACCTATACCCAATGCGTATGACGGAATATAATAATACCAAAAATCAAAATATTATACCACATCCCGTCTTCACTCACTGACAATTAWTATTGTCTTTCTAATGCAGTTGGATGCAGCCACTCGAGGGCGTATATCCTTTACGAAGACTCTGTGTACAACCCTGGTTCGATGATGGGGTATAAGTGCAGTACCTGGAATGATTACGTGGAGCGAAATTGCGACGACGACGATAAAACGCCGATGGGACACAACGCTTCGGCYAAGTTAGTAGAAATCACAAGGCGTTTAATATAATTTATTTCATTTTTTAGATAGCTTAGAATCTATTATGTCTTTATAATATAGTTATTACAGTTTAATAATGTGTATAAACGTAAAAATAKACGTTGGCATATGCGAGATTAATTGATCAATAGACTCAAAACCCTTTTTTCAATATAACTAATATAATTGATATCAATAGATTATACTGAGACTAGGTTTGGTATTTATAGCTTATTATTATTATTTTTTTTTTTTTGATTTAAACACATTAAGATGGAAACCAATCTTAACGATATTAGAATCATGTCACGCGTCGGCTTTGAAGCATTTGTTGGATTTGCCTCCAGTTTTTTGCGTCGAATAAAATCATTAAAAATCAATAATTTCAATCGTGTTTGTATGATACTATAAAAAATATAGATCGATATAAGGATAGAATCCAGGTGAAGTCAAATTATAAGAATAATGTAATATACATATTACATATATAATGTATGCTAGATTGCTAGGCCTAGATTATGAAGTAGTTGTTCAAAAATCCATCCTCTAAGATTTCTTTAAAAAGTTGGTTCAATCCGTAAGCTATTTAGAATCTCATATTAGTAAAGTTGGCTTCTCATTTTTATCTGATAAATTTCAAACCTTTACAAACATGTCAATAATTTACAAATGTATTTTTGGAATTTTCAATTCCTTTTTAATGTAAGCTAAGGAAGTTATTTCAAAATTTGGGGAGAGGCAACNAGTACTCTAGCTGAGAAACTCCTTGGTGTGCCTTCGCCGATACCACTGTTCAATAAAACTCCCCCCCACCACGTCATCCGATAGATCCCGGACCGGTGTCAATAATTTTCAAAAAGTTTGTTTTAATTGGTATTTCAGTTTCAGAATTTGTAAATCAATGTTTTTTTGTCACTCATCTGCCACACATCTCAACCGATCGATTCCGCACTGATTCTCATTAAAGCTTTTTACGGATTGGGTAACCAACTGTTTTAAGTGGTAAATATAAATAGTTTTGAAATCTGAAAGTGTGGATWTTTAAATAATTACTTCATAATCTAGGCGTAACATAGATTAAATATTTATATACGTATATCATACTATCTAATTCATCCAATTTCACCTTGGTTCGATGCTCGTATTGTTCTAYGTTTCTTCCAGTTAAAATATGTGAATATGTTACAAACACAATTGAGATGATTAATTTTATTAATTCTGAATTAATTTTTTATGCAAATGGAAAATACTTAAGACAGATTAAACGAATCTCGCAATTTATAATCAAAATCCATAACCAAATGCATTGTTTTTTATTCGATTATAAACAATTGTAAGCGGAGACTGTTCGTCAATTTTTATAAATATTTTTTAGTATTTATAATACATGTTTTATTATATCTACTATAAGTATTTTTTCTTTTAATAATTTGGTAGGTTTAATYAATTTTTATCATAAACATTGAATGTTTTTTGTTTTCTCCGTCTTACAACATTGTACATTTTACGCTAACAATAATGCGTTTAACACAACATAAGAGAGATTTCTACTGTTTTCAGGGCAAGAGGTGATTACTATTTGCGCACCAAAAGTGTTGCTCCTTTCGACATACCGTATGAATTGAAAGAAGACCTCTGAAGTTATATCCTCTTTAGTCTTTACACTAATAACAAAGTTAAGTCACGGAGTACAGACTCTGAAGAAATTCCATTTATTGACACTTTAAGTTATGATTAACAGTTAATCTTAGCAATATTATATTAATTTGTGATTAGCACTAAAAATAAACTTTCTATATTTTTGTGTTAAGTTTCAAGGAACCAAATATTTTAGTCACATGTTAAATTGATTTTACTTATTCTTAATTGTGTTATAATTTATTATTTTTAATGTAATTAATATTATGTATATTGTTAAAATTAAATTATTTACATTATTATTATTTTTGAAAAATATATTGTGGATGTACACAAGATGTTATAAATGCGAGTATAACGAAATTTCTATCGTGTTTTTAATACATTCAGGAGACTTAGTACAATTTAATTTTACGTTCTGATACAGCACGCGACCAGAACACTTGGGATACTACCTATGTATTCTAAAATAAATAGTCACACGAATAATTTATATATGGCTTATTTTCATTCGCACACATAACTATTTGGTGTTGTCCTTTGAGGAGAGCTCTACACAGTGGCGATGGCGCCGAAGTCCTAAAAATCTAGTAGGGTGAAAAATATTTCAAGAGGCCCAACATCTTAATATCGGAAAAAATTGCATTCCGTGGAGAGGAAAATGGTCAATATGAGGCGGCCCTATCTTTCATTTTCAAAATATGTCGGGTCATGGCCTGACCTTAACATAGGGTTCGGCGCCACTGGCTCTACAAGTGAGTAGCACCCTTAACTATAGTACCTCAACAGTGTTCTGAATATTACGATCATGAAATTGTTCAACTTAATCAATTTTTTACTTCAATTGGGACACCCTTGAATTATTTAAAACGCTTTGTAACAATAAAACACTACAGAATAATAATATGATATAATATGACGTTATGTATACAGAAAAAAAGGTGGCGTGCAAAAAAATTGTCAATAACACCACGTCATAACAATTTATAAATTGTGTATTGTAAAATAGAACGTCATGTAGTTTGGTGGGATAGAAAARTGTACTTAATTAATTTTATACTCGTTCTGAACACTTTTAATAATAATATTAAAACAATATAAAACACAGGTTTTTAGGAAAACGATTACATTATTATGAATATTAACCTATAGTGGAGCAGCAACAGTTGGCGAACATTGCAAGAAAAGTGTAAAAAAATATACAAATTAAGCTTTTGATGGCAGAAGCCACCCATTGGTGATACTACATATTACCAATTATTTAGTGTTTTATTGTATTAACTTTATTTATACAATATTTTTTTAGTAATCAGGAGAATATCTCGACACCAGTGGAGTTGTAGTACTAATAGCTTTTCAAAGGATTTCACCGAGTGGAAAGGGATGATTGTTTTTAATMAAAAATTGAGTAGGTAGGTTAGATCAGGGGTTCCAAAACTGTGTACCGCGGGCACATTCTAAAGGCACCGCGGTCTTCGGCTCATAATAAAAAATTTTTTTTTTCGAAAATTCGTTATTAATRAGTTTTTTTTGTTCTGAACACTTATGGTGTTCACATTTCACAGCAAGGCGCCACGGCTATATTTAGTCCAAAAAAGTGCACCGTGGAGAAACTGAACCACGGAACCACTGGGTTAGATTATCGTGACTTATTTTATAAAAAAAAACGTAACTTCATCTGCGGTACTGGTATTATTTTTATATCTTTAGAGTGTCTTGTTGGACTGTTAAAATAAGGGACGTAAATTAGTTTTCTGTTTTTTTAAGTTGTGTACTTTATTAACAATGGATTTTTAGCCAGAATAGTTTTTAAAAGGACGCTACCCATACATTTGTTGTCTTCGTCTTATTGTACACATATGACATGGSACATTTCCATCCACTAGTTTCAATAGTCTACTGTTAGTTTTCATGTTATAGTGAATTAAATTATTATTAAACCTTTAGGTCAGAACATTATCTAGGCTTAAGCGTTGACAACTTTTTCAATTTTTTAATTTTCAAATAAAATATGATGGGTAAGTGAAATATCACAAATCAAAAATGATTTTAATCTAAGCTAAGCTTTTAACCTTGCTAGAAAATTAAAATATCGAAAAAAATCACTATTGTTTATAAGCACAGATAATATTCTTAACTAAAAGTTTGATAAAAGGTTAATTCATAATTATATTGAATCTAATAGCATACTATTGAAACTAGTGAACGAAAATTTGTTATTTAAGTCGTACGTTTTTAAGGCGAAGACAACAAACACATGACTAGCATCCTCTTGAAAGGGTTTTCGGTTTTGTAAATAAATTAATGACATGATCTTCAAATTAAGATACATACATAGATGCCTAGTTAAATGTGTTCAAATAATTTATATTTTTGTGACATAATAAAATAATTGCATTAAAAAGTGACATCACATATAAATAAATACAATATATAATACCTAATATAATATATGATGATACATTTCAGAAAAAACCACTTTTGTGACGGATAATCCGACGATTCTCGGTTTGGTGGTTTTGAGTGAAATCTAACGTTTGTTCAGTCTGTACCATATGACAGTTGATGTCAGCATGTAAGTACACAGGCAAAAAAAGCATATGTAGACAAATTCGGGATAAATGTTAACTCGGGCGAAATCCATTTCGTTGAGAAACTTAACTGGATTCTTGTAGTGGCAATACATCTCGTCAGAACACGGTAAAATGCCCCTGTCAAGGCCGTACAGTGAGTACATGATACTCTGAAACGATGCTCTGATGAAACTGAAATGGTGGAGCCACACGTACATGGAAGGTACRTCCGGAAACCTTATGGCAAATCCAAACACGGAGAGTAACACCACAAATACTGGTCCAACGAACACAGAAATCTGAAATTAATTTTAAATACCTACATAACCAAATTAATTATTTTCCGATGTATTTATTCGCGTCACTTCATGTTTGATTTGTAATTATATAGTGTATATATGTGTTATAATATGGTTTCTGATTTTTAGAATTTTTAAATACACTTAAATACCATACTTGAGATCTATTGTGCCACTTAAAGATGATACTGTGCCAATACAAACTTCTGTTTTTCTTTTAGGAACTATTCACTTTTAATTACTCATCAGATATTTTTTAAGGTTTATAAATGTATGTACAATCAAAATTTAAGAGAATAGTTTTTAGTTATATAACTTTATGTACTAGAATAATAGAATGTGTATGGTAGTGGCCAATGGGTTAAGTGGATGTGGAGGCTTTGACAATTTGAAAATGTTGGTAATTACTATTTATTACTGATTTACCAATAAAAATAATTTAGAAATTGATCCAAGTATAATAAATACAAAATATTAYAAGTTATATTAAGTTAATTAACATAATATTATAGCTTATATTTTTGTAAAACCATATTTTTTAAGGATTATTATCGTAAGTATATAAACATTTTAATATCGCTGCAGTAACTACTCAATTACTACTTCGATTTATATGCATCAACGTTTTCAAGAAAATCATCAGCTAAATAATTTGCAGGAAAAAGAAAGGCTTCTCTTTGAAAAATATAAGTTTGTATTATCACAATACACTCCTTGAGTTGTACAAAAGAATATTTCAAATCTTAAGATATGTTCTTTAGGKGTTATATGTGTTTAATAATKCTAAAAATCAGAAYTTGAATTTTAGTATTGAATKAAATATTGAAAAATCGGTATGGGCATGCTTTGCCATCCTTTGTAGACACCGTGCTGACATTTAATTTATTTAAACAATAAAAGTCTATAAAGGTATGGACATTCACATGTTTCACACGCAAGAYAAAATAAGCTTCAATGCTCTGTTATAGATTTAAATGTTTCAAACKACATGGCAATYAAGYATATAAGGTAATGAACGACCAATGTTCGATCGCAGAGTATCATAGAACTACGGTGGTATGGAAACAGACCTTCAACGGCATGGTTGCACCGCACAAGAATCCTGCACTCTGTGACGTCATGGAAGTGGCAATCAGGAAAACGGCGAAGTAACCAAATCGCATAAGTTCAAACGGTTGGCTAGTGATTGCATACGCCGGTACGATGTAGACGATACAACACAATATCTGCGACGAAAAATAAAAACAAAATAATAATCCAATTTAACTGGTGAGCGTCTGCGACGATCGGAATGGAGTTTCTCGAATACGATCGTTGAGGGGAGATGGAGATGTTTGGTAATGTATTGTTTGGTAACCTCCTCACCTGTAGCGGTATTTCGACCATCAATATGGATACGATGTACGGGAAAAGCGTGTACCAACTGTTGAAGTGTTCCCTCTTCACGACCATAAACTCTAATGGGACTGGACATCRCACCCAATGACGTCGGTGCGTTTAAAAAGAATATATAATTAATAAGTATACATAGTGATATATTTTAGTATAATATTATACAAGTTTGCAAGAGTTTAATGTAATTTAATACGCGACAATATTGAATAATAATAATTGTATCGTGTAATATCATTATTTGGGCCCGGAACTTGATGATCTAAAARTACATAAAAATGCATAAAATGACGTAAAAATATCTAAAAATGACACACAAAAAAAAAATTTTAAATGTTTATTTTACTGTAAAAAATGATAAATATTGTTTCGATACAAAAATTATTAAAATTATTTTTATTTAATTAAATAAAACTATACATATTAAAAAATATTACTTTTACTAAAATTTATTTTTTTGTCGAATTTCTTGTTTTCATGACATAAAAAAAAGACAATGAATGTTGATAATCGACAAGCTAATGGAAACTGCATGCATGCCAATTGGGTAATTTTCAACAAGAAAAATGCTATTATATGTAAAAGTAAAGTGCRAAAATGAATAAAATGCACCAAAAATACTAAAAAATTAACGTAAAGCATAAAATTCCTTAAAAATGCAAAAAATAAAAAATAAAAATTGTATACTTCAAAAATTAAATTTCTGTATAGACGAGAATTGAATGTGAACATTAGAAAAAAATATGCATGTGGATCAAGTTCCGGGCCCTAATCATTATGTTATTATATGCTTACAAGAAACGATGACGGACATCAAACCGGTGTAGACCAAAAACAAATTAGAGGCGTATACGAACTTCATGTTGATGAACACTCGAGCCGCATCGTTGCCCGATCCACGGTACATGTAACTAATTATGAGGGCTACGGCTAAATGGATGACGATCCGCAACAGCAGGTAAGTCTGAAAAGTTTTCCAATCATGGTTATCAAATTTTTATCGTGAAAACTGAAGGTCAAGACTCGAGAGTGGCCGTTTCGAGTTGGATCTTTTATAATGGGCTTTAAATTGAACATTTTTAATTTTTTTACTAAAAAATAAAACATGTCAAGATTTTGTGAAAATTTAAGTTTTAAATAATTATTTAAAAAAAAAATCTATTATAACTACTTATGAAAAATCTTGTCATAAAATTTCAAGCTTTTTGACCAAATGATTGACATTAGGACAAAAACTAAAAAAATTTAAATTTAAAATGTCTGCTA